CCTGCAATAATACCTACAGCTTCCCCTTTGATGTTCTGACCTACACAAGACTCAACTTGTTAGATATTACTGAGGTTCCGTGAGTAGCATGTTGTATCTATGATCTCTATCATTTTCGAATATGTAATCCCTCCGTTGCATTTTATTTGGAGCGATTGATTGAGCATATAGTTTAAGAAATAAACTAAGACTAATTTTAGCATATACTAGTAAAATATAAGCAAATTAAGTTCCAAAATTATCACTACCAAGATTCTGGCGTAATGAATATGATCTCTCCCTCTTTCATCAAAACATAACGAGATCAAGATTTGTATATGAAAGACAATTTGGTAGAGAGTGTTTTCTCTCTAATGGGTCTTACACGAAGTTAATCCGAATTAGTGAAATCTCAACATGAATACTAAGACGTGATGAAATTATTCTTTTAAACGAACAATGATTAAAGTTCTCATTATCTTTTTCAATTTTTTGGATATTATGGTTTATGACTAATTGTGTTATGAAGTTATTATTGTAGTCAAATTGCAATTACTTCAATTTTTATTATAAAATAACAACTTCCAATTAATATATTTCTTTTTCCTTCATTATTTATCGTGAATTGATTATATTTTTTTCACATCATATTATAAAGAAAAAATGTTCAATATTTGTTATTTAATAATTAAAGCTAACACAAAATAGCAAGTATATAAAGTAGCAATAGATAAGATAATCGAGATACTCACAGATACTTGTATTAGTCCAAGTTTCGATAGCTAAAGTTACTCGAAATTTGTGTTGATTTGATTAAAAATCCAAAATAAGAGCTAATCGACAGATACTATATTTTTTATTTTTATATGGAAACAAATAAATAAAGCAAAATTATTATATTTATTACCTATATATAAAATCATTTGGCTCAAAAACACCTTAAACACCTTTAAATTAATCATTGAAAATATTTATCAATTGCAATGGAGCAGAGTCAACCACCGCCAACAACGCCGGTGCCGGCGCCGGCGACACCCATTTCGCAGCCAGCTGAACCAATTCCGGCAACATCTCCAGCTCTGCCACCTCCTTCCTCTGCCCCAATAAGTCAACTTCCTTCTACAACAACCACTACATCAGTAGCATCACAACCACTAAACCTAAACCCTACCACCACCACCACCACCTCAGCTACTAAAACCACTACTACTACCACTACCAGTTCAGGTACTAAAACCATCACCACTACCACCACTACCATCAGCCCTGGCGGTACCATCACTGCCGCTGCCGTGCAGCAGCAAAACCCTTCAGCAGCCACTTCACAACAAAATGCTCAAATAAGACAACCCTTTGGCCGGCCATGGCAACAGCCTTCACCTTTTCAACACTTTTCGTTACCTCCTCCACCTCCACCACCACCACCTCACTCGTCGTCATCATCTTCTTCGGTTTCGTCTTCTTCAGTTTCTATGCAAAATCAAAACCCTAGAGGTGGTATGGCTATGGGAGTACCTGCTCATCACCCTAGTAGCTCTTTCTCTTCATTGACGACGCCTTCTTATGGACAGCAATTTGGTGGTTTAGGTCGCAATTTGCCTGATTCTACGCCACCCACCTCAACTACCTCACAGGTACTAAATTTTTTGCCTTTTCGCCCATCCTTTTTGTATATGTATGCAATTGCAGTTATCTGTGCCAATTCTTGCCTACTATTTTGTTTTGGTTTCTGAACAGCTAAAATATTTTGCAAATGCAGCCTAATTTATAAACTAATAATCTGCTAAAGGTAACCTCTTAAGGTCATTCATTATTAAAAGGGAGAAATTTAAAGCAGTGAAACAAGTTTAGAGGAGCTCCTGGGGTAGTGGTAGATAAAGTGGATATAAAGATTCCGGTGCTTGTTGAATAGTTGAGTTGTGTCTTAAATAGTTTTAGAAAAAAGTTATGAGTACCATGCTACGGCTATAATGCAAACAATTTGATTTAATTACAATAATAGTTCCACATTATTGGGTATAGAGAATCAAAATTGAAACTTTTAACATGTGTAGGGCGTAAGGATGGATGTAGCCAACTAGATCAAGGCAATGGATTGTGATTTTACCATGCAAGGTTCAATTCCATTGTTCATCTACTTTTGTTTCAGGACACTCTATAAAGTACCACATTCAGTAGCGGGTAAAGCTTAACATAACTGTGTTGGGGATAATTGACAACTTATTATATTTGGTCAGATACTCGTAGTGATTGGTTTCATCTAATGATTTTCGTGCTGGACATGCCAAAACTTCAAAAGGCAGATAAAAAATGACCTGAGGGAGTACTTTATAGTATGAAAGACACAAAATGATTCAGGTTGCTTGATTTAGTATTTGGAATCCGATCTTATGTAGGAACTAGGAAAGAGGAATGTATTTCATGAACTGTAAGGCGTTTTGGATCTTGGTCACTCCGGTTTATGTGGTTAGGTCTGTTTATGTTCAAATATGAATATGGTTCTTTGAGTAAGGAATTTGCGTACTTCGAATTTTGTGTGAATTCACACCTCTGGGTCCTTGATTTACATTGTACATTGGATATTAACTGATTCTTGTTATCTGTAGGTGAGGCAGCCTATACAAGGAATGCATGGGATGGGAATGATGGGATCACTTGGTTCAACTTCACCAATGCGCCCCGCAGGGATTTCTCCTCAGCAACTGAGACCTGTCTCCTCTGCAATCAGACCTCAGACGAGCATCGGTAGTCAGTCTGCTGCTACACAGGTTAGTAATTCCTTATGATAGATATCAGTTCTTTTTACTTCCTTTTACTATTTGGTTGTTTAGGTTCAGGTAACTGTAAAATATTGAGGTTATTTGGTTCTTCTTCATTTACCCATGCAGAATTTTCAAGGACATAGCATGTTGAGAGTTCAGTCAGTCGGATTTCCGCCATCCCAATCACATACTACTACCTCTCAAAGTCCAAAGACACAGACTCAGCCATGGTTATCTTCAGGAGCACCGGGGAAGCCCCCTTTGCCGACACCATCATTGAGACCTCAAATTAATCCTCAGTCTTTGCATCAAAGGTCCCATATTCTTGCAGCGCATCAGCATACTGTTACTACTTCATCCTCTGCCCAACAGTCACAGCCTTCAACCTCAAGTCAGTCCCAAGATCATTTGGGGCAACAGATGCCTCCATCCAGGATTCAACAATCATTATCTAATCAAGCACTTGGCCGGGGTCAGGGTTTAGGAATCCAGAGACCTTCATCACATGCATTGATGCAACCCACTGCAGTCCAGCCAGGGCTACCTAGTAAGGCTGCTACCACTTTAGAGATGGGAGATCCTTGTACTAGGATTCTAAGCAAGAGAAGCATCCAAGAGATTGTGACCCAGGTTAGTGTAGACATGTTAAACTCATCGTCTCCCAGTTTTGAGAATATTTCATTATCTATCTGATTTAGAGAGTCCTTTTTCTTGAAATTATTTCTATATGTACCAATTCTTTTAATAAGTATTCGTGTATAGATTGATGGAATTTAAAGGAGAACATATGTTCAGGCTTTACCTGTTTCCACTATGTATATCGTAGCTGGATCACTTCACAACGTTAATTTCCTTCATGCTACTTCTTACCTGTCAAAGGAGGAAACTTTCCACCATAAATTACGAATTTGCATTTTGCTTGTTTGATCCTCTTATCAGTGATTGGGACTTGGGATGAGGCGCAGTTGTTGGTTGTTTTCTTATGAGTACTAATCTTGAAGTTCCACCAGATAGGTGTTTTTGAAACTTCGGTTGAAGTAAGATTATTATACTCCATGTCCGTTGATAGGATGAGATACTTTTGCTTGCATTGTGCTGAGAATGCACCTATACTAGATTCAGTAACTGAAATTATTACTATTAACTTGATGATGTTGCTGATAAAAATATGATGCACAAATACAGTTGCTTTTTATTTATCGCATCTTTCAGTTTGAAAGAGAGTCTTATTAAAGAATTTATGTAGTCTTTGCATTTTAGTTAGATATATGATGGCTGCCTAATGGCAAGATTGTACATATTATGTCTCCTAAGTAGTGATGTTGCTTGTAAAGCTTTATCCTGTTAGGTTGCAAACTGAGATTGGTAAGATGAAGGAACCCAGTAATAGGTAGCTTTCCAAGTCTTTCTACCTCTAATTCTTGAAGAAGCAAGTAGCAAACTTAGGAACATGTTTCAGCTTGATAGGGGATTACAAGGCAGGGAATTGGACCCCCACTACCAGGTGAAAGTCTAGGTAGCCAAACCAACTGGACTACCATGATTTGGCATGATAAGGACTTCAAGCTTAGCAGTATGCATTACGACTGCTAGTCTGCTACTCAGGAAGTTAATCTCAGTTATGCTGGCTCATCTGTAAATTGGTAGGGAAAATGAGTAGTCACCATTTACCTGAGTGTAAGGAAGCACTACAGCTGTGGACTTTCTGGTGTGCAGTCCATTGTAGCTTTTGACTATAGTGCAGGAAGATTTCACTAGAAACTGTGGTTTAACTTTATGAGGATGTGCTTTTGATTTGAATAAGCCAAATGAGTGCAATGAATGGTGTGTGGATTAATCACACGTACTAAATAATGGTGTTCACTCTGTAATATACTGTCAGGCTATTGCTTTGACAGCAAATACTAGCTATGATTTATCTGCTTGCAAACTGTTACTAGCATATTCTATTTGGAAAATATGACCTAGCATATTCTGATTGCAAACTGTCATGAACTAGCTGTTCAATTAGCAAACAGAATATGCATAGGTCTGACTGGAAGATTCAGCTCTAGCCAGTAAATGTATGCAAACAAGATGCGGAAGGATAAATATTATTGAAAGATTTTGCTGCTTGTAAGCTTGCAGGATCCATTGATAATGAATCCATACATCCCGTTGTGTAATAGTGATATACTTCATCATAGTTGGAAGCTGGCGAAATTTTTTTGTAGTTATAAATTATATGATGGTGTCTGTGCCAGCTTGAATCCGATGGGCAGACCACAAGTATAAGTGCTAGGTCAACATGCCTATCAATCAATTGCCTTTATGATTTTGGTATCAGGTGCCTATTTTTTTGCCTTTATGATTCAATTGCTTGACCTGCATCTCCCATTGACAGATTGATCCATCAGAGAAATTGGATGCTGAAGTTGAAGACATCCTCGTTGATATAGCAGAGGAATTTGTGGAATCTGTAAGTTCATATTCTAGTTGTTTCACACTGAAATATTCCTTTTAATCTGAAATCTCACCTGACAATCTGATGGGTATATTGTATGATTATTCTCTGAAGTACTCTAGTGGGGCTGAAGTTCTGGCCATGCTTTAATAGGATAAAGCTAGCTATTTCATTTTCATTGACAATGCCATTACTTTTTAGTTGTGCAATTCCATTCAGCTTAATGTGGTAAGCTCAGGGGTATTTATCCAAAAAACAAAAAAGAGAATATGGTGAGCTCAGGGGTACGCGGTATCATTTATTACTTACTTCCTGTTAAGTACAAGAATGGTTGAAATTGCCACCTGATCTAGGTCTCTGTTTGTACTGAACTATGAATTTCTTTGTAGATGAACACAATGAATTCTAGGAAGCAAGGAAAAAGATTTTCCCTTAGATCCGACTATTCTGCATCATATTTTCTTTTTTGTGTTATGTAGGCGATAAGCGCATGTTCTTAGTTTTTAAGGAAAATTTCAGATATGCTCCCTTTGTCATTCAAGTTCTTGTTTTATTTATGAGATAGACTCTTGCTATGCAGATCAATGTCTTTTATCTCTTTCAATTGGATATTTGGCTTCTCTTGAAATGGAATTTTATGTATATGCCAAGCGATTTGGGAGTTCATTTCTTGTAGCTATATTATGTGTGATTCTACAAACCTAAAGGGGGGCTTGGAAAATTGTTGCAGATTCTCTCTTCAAATCAGCCGTTCCTTCTCAGTTTCTGTCATACAATTAATGCGTGAATCTTTTCTGGAGGATTCATATGACAGATAATTGATATCAACATCCAGTACTTTATGGTTATTCCAAAATGTTGTGGCAGGAATTAAAAATTGGGAGATGGGTTGAGGGAAAGAAAATTAACGGGAGAGGCAGTATTAGTTACTTAACAGAGTGAATGCAGCTAATGGGTGTAAAACAATCTTTGGGAAGGTAACATCAGCTCTAGTAGGATTTGTGAATTAAGACTCACACATTAATTGAACTTGTAGTTCTGGTAACATGCGGAGAACCCGGATCTCTTTTTAAGTCGGGGTGGCCTAGGGTAGGAGGAAATGGAAGGCTGATCATTCGTCACACTGCATGTAGAGTTCTAAATTATTTTTTTTTTCCATATTTGTTGGGTGGTTTAAGTTGATGTCATAGTCCCTTTAGACCTGTATTATCTCCCGCCAAATGATGATACTATGTTAACAGCGCGTTCCTCATTTTTGTACTGGTCCATAACTACTTCCTGCTTGACCAGATTACCACATTTGGCTGTTCATTGGCCAAGCATCGGAAATCCAATACATTGGAAGCAAAGGACATCCTTCTGCATCTTGGTAAGTTACTTTCTATTCCTGACTGGTCCAACGATATGCAGTACCTAACCTTTAAAGTGTATTTAATACAGAAAGGAATTGGAATATGACTCTCCCAGGTTTTGGTGGGGATGAGATCAGAGCCTACAAGAAGCCAGTGAGTTCAATACCACATAATCAGACTTCTTTGTAATGCAATCTTTATTTTCCAATCTTTTCTTGTTATCTGATTATTTCTTTTCTGGTTTCTCAGTTAACCAGTGACATCCACAAAGAGAGAATTGCAGCGGTAAGTTAAATTTCTTACTTTGTCCTATTGCTTGTGATTGGTTTCGTCTTGACGTATTTATTTCAAAATGAGAAAGATAATGTGACATTAACAGAGACGGATCCAAGATTTGAAGTTTATGAGTTTATAACTGTGTTTTGAACTTACATCTGACGGTGATATACATCGGTCATTATTAGCTGATCAGTCGTTGTACGTTTGACAGATAAAGAAATCGACTCTCGTAGCCGAGATGACAAATGCAAAGGGCCCAACACAGACTGGTGGGAATATGAAAAGCCATTTAGCAAAAAATGCAGCTAATATTATGGGTTCCCCTAATGCCAAGACATGAAAGCTTGTGCATTAAAACAAAAGGCAGGAAGATTTGATCTAAAGAATTAAATTTCTTTTAACTTCCTTCAATTAAATTTCTTAAATTAGAATTAGTATTGAGAAAAGAAAAAAAAATGAAATTGTATTATTTTGTTGTGTTCAAATGGAGAAAATTGTATTATTTTCTAGATTTTCATGTCTTATGGTGATATTTCTCACATGTAAATATTTCTTTTTTAACAGATTATTGACCCATCCATTTGTTCGATTTTTGCTAAATATATATATATATATATCGCTCATGTAATATGACTAAGTTGTCGATAAAATTTCTTATTATTTGAATATCAAACACTTGATTATTCAAATTTTGTTAGGTGTTGAAAAGTCACTTGCATCAATTCATGTGCATGTGAAATTATTGAATGGATTATTATAGGTATTTTTCCATGTAATTTCCAGGTCAAGTACATGTGCTATAACGTGCAATAATTTGTGTCCAACAATTTTTTAATAGCAAAATAACCAAAAATATTCTCTTTAATTATGCTTATTGTTAAGTAAAACCTAATATTGTGAATGAAAAATCTTTACTTTGTACACTTTTTTTCGTATCAGATAAAGTAAAGCTTGATTTTTTATCTTCAACTTTATTTTATTTAGACGTAACGCGAAAAGTTTTTTCTCTCTATCCTTTCTCGTTCTTGTTTCAAGGAGGTAATTTAAGAATATCCTTTTAGTTTGTACCGAAATACTATAAATTATATTTATTTTAATATTTATTCCTTGAGTTGGATAAACCTACAATTTCTTAGTTTAAAAAAAGAAGTAAATTATTGTCTTTTAGGGTTTGATTGATGTAACATGTTTGAGCTATGGAAATTATTTTTTTTAATAGAAATATAGGATAAGGTTATGACTTATGTATAGTAGATCTTAACTCTTGTTCATAGTGAAAGCTTAGTGCATCAGACTGTCTTTTATTAATATAATGTGATGTAAATTACTATCAAATAATCACTTATTTACAAAATTTGTATGGAGAAATAGTTTTGTTTCGCTTCTCTCAGTCGTATCCATCCTTTATCAGTTTTTTCGTAATTAAGTTATGTAGAAATTAGATGATTTTATCGATCAAATTACCTAGCGATGAACTCCTAAATTCACATAACATGCAAAGATCTTAATTGGGTCCAATATTGTGCTTATGCATCAATATACTGATCAAATAAAAATCGAATAAAATCAAAATCAAATCCAATTTTGTATACTAAATTAAATCTAGAGCTAAAATAATTTAGTCTATAATTGTCATAACATTAATGGTCACTGTGAGGAAAAGAAAATCATAAAAAGGAATGAAATTTCACACCATATAGTTTGGTCTTTATCTTCTTAAGTGACTTAATGAAAGAGAATATGGTATGGTAAAAAAATTTAAGAATTTCATAATTGTTATGTAAAATAATTAAATACTTATAAATATTTTATGATGAACTTTTGTTATTATTGTACATTAAATTGAATTTTGAGATCAACATGAAGTCTTAAGTTTGAGCCTTAAAATAAAATTATCTTTAATTTTGAGGTTTTGAAAGTTGGGAGAAAAATCCAAAAATAATGTGAATCAAATTAGGGGTACCATTCCCAATTTATTCAATTGTCATTGTATATAATTGACTTGAGATCGTTGCAGTAATTTATAAACTTCAAATTTTGAATTTATCTTGGCGTATAATGTCAACATAATATATTGAATTTGATGAATGAAAATAAAAAGATTTTTAATTTTTCAAAATTAGATATCAAGTGAAAAAAAGAATACAACGAGGATCAAGTTAGTATAAATATTGTCTTTAATTTTCAAAATATCATATGGCGAGTGAAAAAAGCCAAAGAGAACACAATGTTAATCATCAAATTAAGATATTATTTTATTCAATTATAATTATATATTAACTTAAAATTTTTCAAAAATCTACAAATTTCAAATTATATATCGAATTTTATCCATAACATTTATATAAAATCTTACGAAAATAAATAAATATTAAATATCGAGTGAAAACTTCCCGGGGAATCAAATTAGGACCCACATATTCTTATCTACTTTTCTTTCCAAACTCATATAAATTCACCTATGACACAACTCTAAAAAACAAGAAAAGGAAAAAAAAAGAAAAAGGAGCTGAGTTTTTTTTTAAAGAAAATTCAGCTCATAATCAGAGTTGGCTCTTACAAATTCTTATCCTTTTTTTCACTAATTAATAAATCCCAAAATTTTTAAATTTTTTTTTCCCTTGTTATATGATTTGATTTTTGTTATCCTATTACACTTTTAATTGTCTTGATAGGTCCCAAGATTCCCCTTTTTTCTTTTCTCTTCAAAAAAATTTTCCCTTTTGAATTCTTGATAACTTTTCAAGAATGTCGATTTGTGATGGTGATTTGGTGGATTCCAACAATTCTTTTGCTAAGCAACGTGAAAAGATTATTATTGATACTGATCCTGGTATTGGTAAGAAAATTCTTCTTACCCTAAGAATAAATTTGTTTAAAGTTGGCAACTTTAGTAAATTTCTGCAATTTTTTTCTGTGAATTTGAGCTAATTGTTTAGTTAATGGTAATGGGGTTTTGATTTTTGTTGGAGAAATAGAGAGTCCCTTTTGTTTAAAGTTGAGGTTTTTAGCTTTTTGTTCTGTTTCTTGATTTTGGGTGTTGTTTGTTTTTTTATGAATGAGTTTAATGTTGAGAGTTTTAGTGATTGGCTGAATTGTTATTTGATGGGGTCTGGAGAGGATAACTTGGGAAGTAGAGAATTGTTTCCGATAGACCTCACAAGTGGGGTACGGTATCCCTACTTTAGGAGGTAAGAGAGTTGTTTCCAATAGACCCTATAAGTGCGGTCTAGAGAGGGTAGGGTGAACGCAAACCTTATCCCTACTTTGGGAGCTAGAAGTTGTTTCCAATAGACCTCACAAGTGGGGTCTAGAGAGGGTAGGACGAACGCAGACCTTACCCTACTTTGGGAGGTGGAGAGGTTGTCTGATAGACCCCACTGGAGGGTAGGGTTAACGCAGACCTTACCCCTACTTTGGAGGTAGAGAGGTTGTTTTAGATAGTTTCTTGGCGAATTGTTGATGTGATGGTAATTTGGTCTTGATTATGTCAGACAAATAGATGACCCGTTTGTTTAAAGTTGGGAACTTTAGCTAATTTTAAAGTTGTGATGGTGCTGTTTGTTTTTCATGAATGAGTTTAATATCGAGACGTTTGTTAAAAAAATTATTTGATGGTAATTGTGTTTCAATTTTCTTAGATAAAATTTTGGTTAAATGTTCTACCCTTTGTTTTAAGTTGGGAACTTTAGCAAATTTCAGTATTCTTTTTTTCAGTGTCTTGAATTTGGGTGTTCTTTTTTGAGTTTCTTAGACAACTAGATGACATTTTGGGAAATTTTAGTATTGTTTTGGGAGCTCTTATGTGAATGTGGTATCGTTTCGGGGATTCAGTTTTTGTGTACTTGAAGATTCTTCTTTTTTGTTGTTAAAAGTGCAAAGTGCAAAGTGAAGGGCAGAATCTATATATAAAAGGGGTCCAAGTTACTTTATTGGGTCCATTTGATAAACAATAATCAGATAGAATATATTCTCATTCTTTTGGAACTTGTGAATTTTGGGATTGTTTCAGTTTGTTTTTAAAAGAATCTTGGAGATAAAGTAGCTTTTCATCATCCTAAATTAGCTGTACTTTTTAATATATGAAAGTATGAAACTAACATTCTGTATGATGTTTTCTAATTTTGAGACTTCTTTTAGTCAATGAATGTTTTGTTACTTCATAAAGAAATCGGGAGATATTACTAACACCTAGGCACCTAAGAAATCATATTATCGTTTCTGATAAATTTCACAAGGTAGCTTCTATAGTTCTCTTGATTCTTCGGTAATAACTGTGGTAGAATTTTAGTTTGCAAACTTTGTTTTTGTAGTACTCGCTCTTAACTAACAATCTGTAACATCACTCTGGACTTGTAACTTAGAAATCATTTTGTTTTCGGTGATAACAGATGACAGTATGACAATACTAATGGCATTTCAGACACCAGAAGTTGAGATCATAGGCTTGACTACAATCTTTGGCAACGTTACCACAAAAGATGCTACACGAAATGCTTTACTTTTGGTGTGTTTTTTATTTTATTTGTATTTATGTAAATTTCTCTCCTTTCATCATATTTACAATTTCCATCTACTACATATTTGTGGATCAAGTTCTTGATCAATTACTTCTTTAACTTAATTTGCAAAATGATAGTGTGAAGCTGCAGGATATCCGGATGTTCCCGTGGCAGAGGGTAGCCCTGAACCTCTAAAGGTAATTTTGTTTTTAGTTTTACCGTATATCCCTTCTGACAGCAACAATTTATTCTCTTTGCAATCTCACATGCTATTCTAAAGATACAAGTGATTGCAGCATCACTTGAAGATACCTAACATGAAGCTAATTTTTTTTAAAAATTTCTACTGTGTTGATATATATTAGAATAGATTAAAGTGTAAAAACGATAATTGCTTTTACACGATTGTTTTTGTTTAGTTTATTCTTAGTTTCCTTTCTCCCTTGTAGCTTTACAACACATTGTCACCTAACTCTTGTTTCTTGCTATAGGGAGGGGAACCACGTGTTGCAGACTTTGTTCATGGCTCAGATGGATTAGGCAACTTATTCTTACCTTCTCCAAACTCAAAGAAAATCGACAAGTCTGCATCTGAATTCTTGGTGGAAAAAGTTTCTGAATATCCTGGTGAAGTGTCGATACTTGCACTGGGACCATTGACAAACTTGGCGTTGGTATGTTATATCTCAAAACTTCCACAACTTTCAAGGTTCTGATTTCACCTTGTTTACAAAATTTCATCGTTATCTGTTGATTAGGCTGTCAAGAGGGACTCAACCTTTGCAAGCAAGGTGAAGAGAGTGGTTGTTCTCGGTGGTTCCTTCTTTGCTTTAGGAAATGTTAATCCTGCCGCAGAAGCAAATGTAGGTGATTTCTCTCCCGACGGGGTATATAAATACTATAATATTCACAATGCTTTTTACAGTTCCTTTTTCAAACCTGTTGATATGCTTTTTTGAGCCAATGGTCTATCGGGCACAACCTTTGGGTAAAGTCTGCGTGCACACCTCCTTTCCTAGACCTCATCTGTGAGATTACATTTGGCATGCTGTTGTTGTAATGTCTTATAATGTGGAAGCATGTTTTTTGTAGTTGTTTGGTCCTGTAATTCTGTGCTTAGACGTCTTTCTTTAATATTTACCATGTACTATGTAAAAATGTATAGCAGACAACAAATTCTCCTTGTATTTGAGTGTAATATGGGTCCTTTTTTGCATTATGTTAGCAGAAATACTACGAATTCTTGTGTATTATACATCATTTCATATCTTTGTCGACGTCTACAAGCTCAACATTTTTTGCATGTTCATGTTCATTAGGCAAAGCTGAAGAAGTGGTCTTTGTTGTATTACTGTTCACTCATTTGCTTAGTTTTCTGACGAAACAGATATATGGGGACCCTGAGGCTGCTGATGTTGTGTTTACATCGGGGGCAAATATTGATGTTGTCGGCATCAACATTACTACTCAAGTCAAATTGAAAGGTGAATTTCACCGCTTAAATATGTCGAATGCTTCTATTTTTTGCTCCTTTAATTGTATAATTTTGTTCACCTCTTAAATAAGAGTATGCTTCACTGCTTTTAGATGCTGATCTTGAAGAACTAAAGCAATCCAAAGGAAAATACGCTAAATTTGTGTGCGATATGTGCAAATTTTACCGTGATTGGCACGTGAAATCAGACGGTGTCTATGGTAACTTCAGCGTTCTTATATTGTTTTTGGATGACCGACAATGCTTTTCAAACCACTTTCTTGCATTTATCTCGTGATCATCTCTTATCAATTGGCGCTCAGACTCTTCAAAAATGTTGCCACACTTGTGTCGGATCCTCCATAAATGCACCACTTTTAGAGGATACAACATGCACCTGACGACATTTTTGAAGAGTCTAAGTAACATAGGTTAGGCACTACCACTGATAATAATACGCCATCCTCTTTGCAGGTATTTTCCTACATGATCCTGTTAGCTTTGCTGCACTAGTTTGGCCTGAACTTTTCACCTTCAAGAAGGGCGTCGTGAGGGTTGAGACACAAGGCATCTGCGTTGGACACACCTTAATGGACCAAGGGCTAAAGAAGTAAGTATTTTCTATGTTACTCCGAGTACTCCTAAAATTGTTGCCATACCATGTCAGATCCTCCAAAAATGCACTACTCACGGAGATTCGTCTGTTAACATTTTTGAAGAGTCTGAGCAACACAAAGTATTTGAACTTTTCTTTTGCCTATAGCTCTGCACTTTGTAGTAGAACTAATATATCGTTGTAACTAGGTGGAATACGAGCAATCCTTGGACAGATTATTCCCCGGTTTCAGTTGCGTGGACAGTTGATGTGGACGAAGTTCTGGATTATATAAAGAAAACGTTAATGAAACCGTGATTACCATTGGATTTATCGGTCTCTTCCATGTGTGAATCTGCTCGGGAGATCGAGGAACGTCGTGTTTTCTAACATCTATTACAGCAATTGTTCTTAATCTTCATTTTTCCTCCATTCCTTGCAACTAAATAAACCTCAGTTCTGAGAATTATGTAAAGGGCTTATAAAATAGGGTATTATAAAGTTATACTTCCTTCCATTTTTTTTTCTTTATTTTTTGTTTCGGATCGATATTTTCACTCCTTTGCTATTGACCTCATGTTTAACCAGAGGTTTCTAGTTCGAGCTTTAGAAACAACGAAATTCTTGGTATATACTATATTTCCACTCCGTTGCTATTGATGTCATGTTTAACCAGAGGTTTCTAGTTCGAGCTTTAGAAACAACGAAATTCTTGGTATATATTATATTTCCACTGCATTGCTATTGATGTCATGTTTAATCAGAGGTTTGTAGTTCGAGCTTTAAAAAAAACGAAGTTCTTGGTATATACTATGTGAATTTTACTTGATTTTCCTTTACTCTTTATGGGAAAGAAGAAAATGAATTTTAGGATAATCTTTTCATAATTAGTAAAATGTTTTAAGAGTACTCACAAATAAAATTTTGGTTCAGTATCAAATGCAAATATAATTTGGAATCTCTATAACAATTTTACTATTATAGAAAAAGTTTGTTAGAATTGATTTTTCATATATTATTTATAATAATAGTAATCTATTTAGACAATAAAAAGATATCCAGATAAATAATGTCGATAATAAAACGTTTTTGTATAGTTGGAAATATAATATACAAAAAAGAAAAACTCATTTGATTTATTAAAGTTACCTTTTTATTATTATTTTTTCTCCTATGTTCACGTTACGTGCAAACTTTAATTTTCTTTTCCATTTAATAAGCAAAGTTTTAGTATGGAGATGAATATTACTCAACCAATTTTCTTAATGATTATAACTTCCAAGCAACTCTAAAATTAAATTATTTGTGTTTATCGAAAAATAAAATAAAATCTCATTATATATAGTGTGCGCTCATAGGGCGGGCCAACAAGGACGGGACACAAAAAAGGCCGATTCAAGCTTCAGAAAAAGAGATATTGTGTATGATAATTACGCGAGTCTTGGGCCAAGGTGGAAAATGTGTGCTTTATTTGTGCTTGATTTTGAAATATATCGTATCAGAGACAACACTTCTTCAGTATAATCGTGGAGCAAATTTCAATGAGAACGCTCGAAAGATGCACTTAGCTTGAAAACTTAATCGAATTATCCTCTTTTTGAACGGGAGAATAAAGTGAATAACCCAAATTTATAACTTCAAACATTGTATGCACCTTTTGGACTCGATGAGGCCATCGTTAAGAGAATAAATTGTGAGTCGTGTTAGATCAAAGCAGACAATACGTATTATGATTTGAATACACGTAGGTTTTAAGATCTCCAATATTTCAACTTCATTTTGGACAACTTTAATATCTCATTTGGGCCTGAAGTACTTGGGCCAAGTAATTATATTCCAGCCCATATTGGCCCAATCATTGCTGACAACTAACAATACATTAATTTGATTTGATATATCATAAATATAATTTAATTTGTCGTAACAAATTTATTTATCATTTATTATATCTTATCAATTCACCTCGTTCTCGATAATTACTTTATAAGTAATCTGATCGGGTAAAATGTGTTATATTTAGACACTCAATTAGAATCGTTCATCCGCTTCTTCTTCGTATTGATTCAAAATAATTAAATCGCTTTAAACCTCTAGTCAAACTTCTTTATCGTAACTTTAATAATCATATTTTTTTATAAAACAGAACTTTCATGTTCTGTTATATATTCACTATTAAAAAAAAATCGAAAACAAATAACAATAGTTATAAAGATCATAATTTTTTTTAAAAAAATAATTCTCAAAGTAATACTAACATTTTAAAAAAAAAATTGTAGAAAAGAATATACCCCATCTTTTGCGTTATGGCTAATTTTCTATTTTAAAAAAAAAAGAAACCCACCAATGTGAATATGAAAAAATAAAAAACTGAATAAAACCTTTTTCATGACTTTGTGCCACTGACCAAATGGCTCTTTACTTAAATTAGTAAAGTTCCACTTATTATTATTTTATTTATTTTATTGAAAATATAAAACAAATTAATACTCCACCAATAAATGTGTCCCCCTCATATTCTTTATTATTTTATTTATTTATCATATCTATAAATATGTTTATAATTCTCAAATAGAATCTCACTATTTCTTCTTTTTCCCCCATTTTCTTCACTCTATTCAAAACAAAATCTCCATGAAGATCTCTAACTTCTTCATTTTCTCCATCTTCATCACAGGTACACTTTTTAATTTACGTTATATATATCGTTAGCATAATTATAATTTATTTTTACATTACTAGTAATAACGAAATCAAAATTTTCATAATGATAAAATCAAGAATTTTATCAAAAAGATACAAAATTTAAAGATATTTCGTGTTTAATTGATCAGACTTCTAATCCATGTAGCTTTAATTATAAATGTAGTTTAACATATGATTTAACTCCAATTACATTTTAATTTTTTTTTATTGTCAGTATATAGAATTTTTCTTCATTATTATTGTATTTTTTTAGAAAAAAATCTATCTTGAAATGTTTTATTTGAGTCGAATTATAGATAGGTGTAGGAGTAAGTGTTGCGTACTTATTATGATATGTAACAATTTTTAGTGACAGAATTAAAATTTTCACTTAAACATACTAAAAAGATGAAGATTGTTCAGCATTTATTATATTTGCATAAAAATATAATTTTAACTACGTACAAATAATATGATTCTGACTCTATCCTTGCCCTTTTGAAATATGTTATTATTATCGTCAGTGTATATAATTTGTACAATAATACTCTTTTTTTTTTTATTGTTGTATTTTTTTACAGGGTTTTTATGGGGTGTTCGAGTTGAAGGTTCACGTCATCATCACCATCATCGTCACCAGAATAACCCAAAAAATTACAAAAATGACCAAAAAGATCACCAATTTTATAATTTTAAACCAACAAAAATGTTTGTATTTGGAGATTCTTATGCTGATACTGGTAATAATAGAAAATCAATGGCTAATTCTTGGAGACAACCTTATGGTCTCACTTTTCCCGGCAAGCCCTCCGGCAGGTTTTCCGATGGACGTGTACTCACCGATTACCTAGGTAAATTACACTTAATAATATTTGACTCGATACAAAATTTAAGTGAATATTTACTATCGTAAGAGTATGTTGTTTAAAAAGTCACTTCATCCATTTTATTGACGTGGAATATATTTTAAAAGAATTTTTTGATTTTTAGTTATACAAATCAACTTAAGTTTGTGTGTGGTTCAAATGAATTACATAAGTTTGAGATAGATAAATTATTTTGTTTTAGTAATTTTAATTAGATTTTATTCATAGTTCATTAGATTTTATAAAAAAATATATATTTTACATGTATGTCTAATTAAATATTGTTATGTAAATTACAAAATAACAAAATAGGCAATTTTATTTTAATTTATGAAAATAAAGAAATTAATTTATTGAAATAAAATAATATAAGAAAATTATAAAAAAGAATTTTTTTCTGATGTGGATTAAATCCTAATCTCTTTTTTTTTTGCTTCTCCCCGTGCTCTTTTTCATAATTGTGTTCACTTTATCTTTATATCTGTATTTCAACTTTTTGTTTATATTAACAATTTAATTTTTATCGATAATGGTTATGTCGAAAGATAAGTATTTATTTATGTTTAATTAAAATATTAATTTCGTATTTATTAAGAAATATTTATTTTTATGTATATAAATTTAAATTTAATCAAATTTTAATATATATATATATTACGAGTAATTTTTTTTATCTCTCTTTTTTCTATAGTGGGTTGTTAATGAGTATATTTCTTTTTGCATTGTATGCTTTTTTGCTGGGGCTAGACATGTTGCATTATTCCTACTTTTGTTTCTTTTTCTGCATTTTATTGTCAGACTACAATAATTACTTTTCTCTATCAATAAATAAATAAAAATACATACCTTTTTTTTTTAAAAAAAACTATAATAAATATGTTGCTTTATATGTTAAAGTATGACATTATGAAAAAAATTAATTAGTGCTAAACTGAGCTTCTTTTTTTTTTTAATTAATTGTTATTGTCATTATCTTGCCACTTTTGTTTTGCCTACTTATTATGATTTATTCTACCAAACTCCCATGCCAAGTCTTTGAGTTAGGTTTTTTAAAATAAAGTTAGGTAATGTTTGAGTTAAATTATATGTATTTTGATTAATTTTATTAAAAGAAAATTTATTATTATGTTTATTGAATAATTGTATTTGTCAAGATCGTATTGGAGGCACCTTAAGTAATGTTAAATGACATGTGTTTGTTGAAAAATTATATCATTTAAATAGGTTTACACATATGACTAATTTTTTCTAATTGTGATTACCTTTGAGTAAATTTGTAACTCTCTATCAAGATTTTAGACAAAATAATGAGAAGAAGTGATTAATAAATTTTGCCTTCGATAATATAAAATTTCATGATTTTCAATCTATTTTATGAACCATAAAGACGACACATCTTTAGGTGTGAATTTAATTAATTAATATCCATCGATTATGTAAATAATTTTTATACCATATCGATCATCTTTATCTATTGTCCGTAGGAAATTAAGTAATCTCTCTAACGTAAAATTTATGTGTTTTTTATTTTCTCTAGATCTCATTTTTTGATTATCTTTATTTATTATTGATCGGAAATTAAATAATCTCTCTAAAGTAAAATCTGTGTATATTCTATTTTATGTATAGACGATATTGGGCATGTTAATGTTATTATTGTTATTATCGTCTTTCTCTATTGATATAGTAGATAATTTATCTAATATTTAAGTTTACTATTCTCACTCTTTATAAATAATTACATATCGATATTTTTTGAGTGACCTGACATACTTTTAATTGTTTTTTTGAATGCACAAAACAGCAAAATTCTTGGGATTGAAATCACCAATACCATATAGATGGATGAAATATGCAACAAATAGGCTAAAATATGGAATTAATTTTGCCTATGGAGGAACTGGTGTTTTTAATACTACAGTCCCAGAGCCAAATATGACAACTCAAATTGATTTTTTTCAAAAATTGATGGCTGAATCAGTATACACAAAGGCAGATATTGAACAATATTCATTGTTCTTGCTTTCTCTTGCTGGAAATGATTATGGTGCTTACCTTGCTAATGGTGGTACAGTTCAGGTACTTTAAAAGAATACTTAT